AGACACTAACAGCTCATTCTGCGCCCAGCAGACGTTACCAAGCACCCCTTCACACCAGACTCGGCTCCAGGCCCTGGAATCACAAAGGCCTCCACACCGGGCCGCCTGGTGGGTGGGATCAAGGACCGATTCCTGCCGAGAAATTGGCAGGTGAAACGAGTGCGGTCTATCCACGCGGCGGAATATCACCCAGCCTTAAGAGGGAAGGACCTTCTGACACACGATATGGGGACGAACCTTGAGGACATTGTGCTCCATGAAGTAAACCAGTCGCGGAAGTCACACTCACAGAGGCACCTAGAAGGGTCAGACCCATAAACACGAAAAGTAGAACGGGGGCCATCGGGGGCCAAGGGAGACGGATGGCGAGTGGGCGTATTTAATGGGGACTGAGTTTCAGTTTGGGAAAACGGAAAGTTCTGGAGACGGACGGTAGGGATGGGTTGCACGACAATGTGAACGTACCTAATGCCACAGAACCGTATGCTTAAAAATTTAGTTAAGATGGTGTATTTACGTTATGTGTATTTTACTACAATGACAGAAAAGAAAAAGCAGGAAAAGGGTTGCAGAGAGCGGAGAAGCAGGTTGAGCTGATGCCCACCGAAAGGGGACATTTGAGACTAGAAAGTTGTATGAGGCTACCTAGCAGCAGATGGCAGGTAAGAATCCTATTTAGGCTTCAGGCACGGCCAGTGCAAAGGCCCCGGGGCAGAAATGTGCCGACAAAGTCACGACAGGCCCAAGGGACCAGAATGAGCAGGGGAGAACGTTCCAGAGCCGAGCCAAGGAGCTGCCCCTCATTTTGGGCTTGGTGCCTGTCTGATGCAGGAGCACTTTTGCCTGGTCACGGACAGACCGCCTCCCCAGAGCAGCGCCCTCACCAGAGGCCGGCTTTGGTTATTCGGGTCAGCTCGCTGGTCTGGAGGTCACGCGTGACAAGTCCCACCCACACACACGTGTGCGCTAATGCTCTGCACTGGGTGAGTCCCCGGCTTCCAAGGTCCCGGCGACCGAGTCCGGGCTGCTGGCTCTTACAGCAGAGGCCACGGGGTCAGGAGAACAGAGGAGCTTTACAAGCCAGCAGGCGCGGCCAGGGTGGCCTGCCGATCCCTCTTAACCCTTTACCGGAACCACCGGGAGAGCGGGGAGAGGAGGGAGGCCTGGCCCGCTGACCGGGCAGGGTGAGGCAGACGCCAGCAGGCGATGCCCCATCAGGGCACCACCCACCCTGGCGCCCGCTGGGGTCCCCGAAAGCTGGCCTTAACAGCGGGAGGCCCGCTCTGGCTGCGCGGCATGTCCCCCGGCTACCCGGGCAGGGTGCTCGTGGGCACTCCACCAGGGCACACGCTCACCGGTGAGCAGGGACCCTGCGTGCTGCCTGGTGGGCGAGCTCGGCGGGCAGTGTGTGTGCAAGCTGATGGCCTCAGGACCGTTTGAGCCGTCTAGATTTTTTAAATTTAAAATTAAGTGAGAGTTTAACGTACGGTAACAAATACATGCCAGGTATTTCTAATTTAGTGAATAAAATCAAAAGTTGCATTAAAAAAATTTTTTTTAACATTTATTCATTTTTGAGAAAGAGACAGCATGAACGGGGGAGGGGCAGAGAGAGAGGGAGACACAGAATCCAAAACCGGCTCCAGGCTCCGAGCTGTCAGCACAGAGCCCGACACCGGGCTCGAACCCACCATCAGTGAGATCCTGACCAGAGCCGAAGTCGGACACCTAACTGAGCCACCGAGGCGCCCCAAAAGTTGCATTTTGAAACAGGTATTTACTCCACTAAAAGCTTACACCTTTAAGGAAAGGCAAAGGCAGATGAACCACGTGTGACGACCCTGAGAGACAGTCCAAGGCCACTGACAAGACGGGAGGACTGGGGAGCACAGGGACGGGAGGCTGCTGGAAACCGCGGAGGCCGCGGTCAGACACTCTGGGTGACCCAGTTCTGACGTCACGGCGGGAACAAAACCTGGCCCAGGCTCAGAAGGGTCTCACTCAACGGCCAAAGGCCCAGGAGAGCACGCAGGGCTGGAAATACCGCCGAGGCCACTGGGGAAAACTGTAAGCAGCCACCAGGCCCCGACACTGCAGAAAACGAACACTCCCGGGCAAAGATTCAGGATCCAAACGGTTACAGGACGTCCACTCGACGGGCAGCGAACCGTGAGACAACCTCTCCAATCCCAAGTAAGGATGATTTGCAAGCCGCGTTTTCCCCTTCCGGACCCCGGCGTTAACTGCCGGGCCTCCCGAGAGCTGGTGACGGACCGCACACGCGGGGTTTGGACAAGGTTTGGACAAGGCCCCCCGTCCCTGCGTCCCTCCACCCCGGGCACCCGGCTTGGGACGTGCGTGTCCTGACAGCCTGACAGAGCGGCGGGATGCACGGGCCTGCCTCTGCCTCCCTCCCCTCCCCTCCGACCTGTCTTCCAACCTCACTGTCCGTCCTGTTGCCACCCTGCTCCCACTCCAGGCGGAGAGGCCCCGAGAACGTCGGCCTGACAACACGGGCGGCGGGTAACCCACTGCATCCTACGTCCCCTCGTGCTCAGAGCTGCGGCTGCGGGGCTACCCGGTGACTGGATCCAAAGAGGGACAAACCCCTTCGGGGCGGCCCCCCTTCAGCAGAGCACCGGGAGGGGAAAGACAGCCCGGACGTTAGGGGCCCGCCCCCCCCCCCAAGAGGCCGTGTTCGCTCACAGGGGTGCTGGGGGGCAGGGCAGGGCCCGGGGAGACCCCCACCCGCCAGCCCGACCCTTCCCTCACAGGGAGCAAAGGCCCTAATCCACGAGGGGAGGAGCTGCCGCCGCCCCCTGAAGGCCCTACTTCTGGCCCGAGGCCCCCTGCCTCCCAAGACCGTTCCCCCGACGGAAGGCAACCTGCCGCAGAGGCGCGAGCGGGCAGGGCTGAGAAGGGGGGCCCTGCGCCCCGGGATGTGCCCGCAGCACAGGCTGAACCCGGAGGGCCCGGGCCTCCACCTCCGGCCTCGCCCGGGCTGGTGCTGGGGGCAGGGGCAGGGCCTCGCCGGCTGGAGGGACGTGGGGGTAAAAGGCTGCCGCGGAACCGGACTCCCCCTGCCCTGCACGGACGACCTGATGGAGCGGGAGGCCCATTCCCGGGCCCCGAGGACGACCCGCCCTGGTCCCCCTGCCCCTCCACCGCCACGCGGCCTTCCGTCCGAGTCAGGAGGCCCGACCCCCCCCCCCCCACCCCGGTCAACCGAGCCAGACCCGAGAACACCTGCTCGCCACGCGCACCTGGCTCATCCACCTACAGCCCTGCACCCACCACCCCTCACCTCTCCCCGGCCCGGGCGCCCAGGATGTCTCCGCAGAGGCCCTCAGGGGACCCTGTCGCGGCCCCCCGGCTGGGCCTGTGGGACGGCGCACACCGGGAGGACCCCGCGACGGCGGTCCCGGTGAGGAGGGTCCTACCCCCAGGCCACAGGCCCCCATTTCCGAGACAAAGCAGCTTCAAGCCCTAGATCCCTGACTGTGGTGAGCCACCGGCGGGCCGGGCAGTGTTCACACTGGCCCTGTGGGGACCTGCCCACGACGTCCCCTGCCCCGCTCTGGGTTGCCAGGCCTCTTCGTTTTGACTTGCAGGACTCTCCCCCTCAAACGTAAATGCGGACTCCCCGCTGGTTGTCGATGTTAGAAAAGAAAAACACTTCTCTCGGATTCCCACCTGCTCGGTGCACAGCGTCCTTCCCTGGCACGAATGCTTCCTCTGGATCCGGCCAAACCCACTGGGCCGTTTACGTGTCTGGGGTCTTAAAAGGCTTCCCACGAGGTGAGAAAGACGCCCCTCATCATGTCCCACTGACCCAGCGCCGTCCCCCCGCGGCCCCCGGACCGCTGGCGTCGGCCCTCCCCCCACTTCTCTCCACCTGCTCTGATCAGCGACCTCCTGGGGGCCCAGCCCATCGTCCTCCACACACTCAACTTCTCCTTCTAGAAACACTCCTTCCGTGGCTGCTCTGCCTCCAGCTCCAGCCGTGTCTAACAGAACTCTGGTTTCGAGAGCTCAGGTCTACACTGGCAGCGAGCGTAAACGGTTACAGGCCTCACCGCTTCTTTCTGACACGACCGCTGTGCTAGTATCAGAGGAAACTGAGGTGACGTAAAGCAAAATATTTTAAAACGTACCTGATTTCTTTCTACACGCCATTCTCTAAAAACGCCTAAGCAACTAAAGCCATCGACATCTTTAAAACGTGCCTTTTCAACCACACTGCAACTTAAGAATTCCTCGTTCATATTAAAGTCACCACCGGCTTTTGCAGGCTGACGTCCTGGGTTCGTTTAAATGACGATGCGGGACACGGAACCACCTGTGCGAGATCTGCCTCCTAAATGCCGTCTGCGTGGAAAATACTGGTTAGTCCAGTGGGCCACCCCAGGCAGGCCTTAGCTGAGAGCAGGTGGGCCGCCTCCTTGGGCGGCTGGGCCTGGGCCTGGGGACAGGGGGCGGGACCAGGCCGGTGGGCGCCCCGGAAGGCAGCCCCGGGCCCGCCGCCTGCCTGGGGTCCTCTGTCTCCTGGTCCCACGTGCCTCGACGCTCTGCTCTGCAGCTGTGCAAACTCGAGCGTAAAAACGGTTCGGAGATCTTAGGTCTTAGCGAAGACGGCAGGGCCTGTTGTGAAAGGGCAAAAATAATTGCCACTGAGAACTGCTTCTCAGAATGTCTAGAGCACAGCACTCGGGCCAAACACCAAACGCAGAACGTAATGACCTCCGCAGAGAATAACCGAATGCAAACATTGATCCGAACAGGTTTCTTATTTTCAGGGTTCGCCACGTCATCACTCATTTACTCGTCTCTCCAGACAGACGGATAGGATTTTATTAGTTATGACATTTTCGACAGGAGGGGAGGTGGGTGGGGGGAGGAGCTAGATGGGTGACGGGCGTTAAGGAGGCACCTGTTGGCATGAGCACCGGGTTTCGTACGGAAGTGATGAACCACTCACTGGGTTCTCTTCCTGAAGCCAAGACTGCGGAGAATGTTAACTAACCTGGATTTAAATAAAACCTCGGAAGAAAATAAATGTTAATCTTTGAGCTAGAATAAACCTTATAAACCCATTTCTTCCCTTTACCAACAAAGCCCTTGAACCCTCAAGGCGTCAAGGACCGGGCCAAGGTCTCACCTGGTTAACAATTCATGTCCGCCTCTCACCTCTGACCTAGTGGAGCTGGAGAGAGCACACAGGGGCTCCATTTGCCATCAAATTGCTCAGAACGTTTCCTAAAACAACAGACTTCAGAGCCGGCTCGTCTAGTCACCCGCAAGGCTTGCGATTTCAGATGCACTTTTTAAAAATACTCGAGTCTGCTGACCTTAGCCTCTGAGCATAAACAGCGTGGGGGGAGTTCTAACACACTGGCCTACGAAGAAGAAACCTCGCTGAAAAGGCTTTAACGTGGCGCTCCGACGTGTCCGGGAGCGGCCGTGGGTCATTCCACAACCCGCGCTATGATAGGCAATATGTCACCGACGAAGCCTTTTCCCATTACTGTCAAAATAATTACATTCATGATAAACCACAACAAAAAACAAACAAAAGCTTTCCGATTCTTTCCCGGAATGCCAACAGCTAATGGAAGTGAGCAGCTGAAGAAGATTCCAGAAAATGCAAATGGACCTGAGTGCTCCAGTGCAACCCTCCTTTTCCAACAACGTGCAGGGGTCACTACGAGCCCCGCGTCCCCAGCGAAACCCGTCACCAATTTGAGTGTTTTCCTTAAAGTGGAAACACAGCTCACGGTGCCACCAGCTTTACAAAATGACACATCCACGAAGCGTGTTTCTACTTTTAATTTTTTTGCTTTGATAAATCAATTGCTTCACAAAAATCCCCTTTCGAGACAACAATCCAAGAAAACATACCGTGACAGTATTCACATTTTAAAGATTGTCAGTTCGTAGACCGAACACAACTAAAACAAAGGCAGACTGCTGGGTCACTTCCGTCCCTGACCGCCAGAGGTGGCCTTGCCCACCGTCCAGGTAGGGTTGGGTCTGTCTGAAAGGCAAGGGCCCCGAGCCGGCTCCCACAGGTGAGGGCCGCACAGAAAAGGCCGCTGCGACCCGCGGGTGCGCTCCGGTACCAGCTGCCGCCCCGCCGTGCGTCCCGGACAGAGACTGAAACGGACGGCACTACCTGCAGCCAGAAAACGGAAGCCGGGGCCGGCGAAGCCGCGGGACGGGTAACGACGTTCTTACTCTGGGTCTGGGGACACATCCGGAGCGACCTTCTGGCGCAAAGTCAGGATCGCATCTGCTCCGTGAAAATGAACGCTCGAGGGAGTCCCATTTTCAGAGGTTCTCTTGAAGGTCCGAGGGCCGGAAGATGGGGGTCTATAAAATGC